TCATTTAGTTCAGATTTGCCAGCCAAGTTATAGCAGCATACAATTAGCTATTAAGAGGTCTTAACTTAAAATCTTTGTCTCCTCCTCAAGCTCCCAGTTAGCCTAAGACAATAAATTTACAGTGAGATTTTAAAGGCATTTAAGTTGCTACAGATTCGGGGTTTTATATATGCATATGTTTTTTTTTCTTTGCTTAAACTTCTTGCAGTCTTCTGTTGCTTTATTAGATAAAACTGACAGTATATTATTATGAGGGGAGAAACCACAGTCTGAAAAAACTGTTGAGACACTGACATAAACAACTTTGGTAAGAATTTATTGTATTTACCTAGAGCATAATTAAATAAAATTTGAGCTTGGTGTCACTGGAAATAGAACAACAGTCCATACTACTAGTGTTTGGGTTTGGTTGCTCAGGAGGTTTTTTTGTTGCTGTACTGAATAGGAATTGAGCAGGCTACCTTGTTTGCCAATGTTGCGCTTAGATGTACATCTTGTGTTCAGGTTACAGCTACTTAGATGTACACTTGATGTTAAATTGATATTTCTCTTAGGTGTACACTTTAAAGTCTTGGGAGATTCTTGTTGACAACAGAACTCAAAATACTCATTCACCAAAGCTCCAATTTAGAGTAAAAATGTCATGTTACTGATAAGTATTTTGAAAAATGGCTAGCAAGCACACTATCGTTTTTTAAAATCTTTAGAGAAAAGTGGTTTCATTTCAGTCTGTGTAGTTCCTGGTTCTGAAGAAATGCTACAAACTGTAAGCCCATCCTATTTACAGCTGGCCTTTCTTCAGTTAACAAAATTGCCTATGCCTCCGTTTAAATACAACTTGGCCACCTCCACTGTATTGTTCTTTCGTGAAGAGTATTCTTGACTTCACTGGCATTCAGTAATGTTGAGGTATGTTGCTAATTATTGCAAGCATGAATGCTTGCTTATAATTGCAATTTATCATGAATGCTTAAGATTTGTTAATGATTTTTTTTTAAGTTTTTTAAACTGTTTTTTAGTTGTTTGGGTTTTGTTTTTTTTTGCCTCAGGTCTTGAGGGTTTTATTGTTTCTAAAGCTGCTGAATAACCTGCTGGTTTGAAAATAGCAGTTAATGCATACCACCTACTGGTAATAATTACATCAAAGCTTTTTGTTCCTATTGGTGTTTTAATACTGTAGAGCTTTATGAATTCTTTCAGGTGGAGAGCTCAGTTTTCCTTCAGTGCATCAAAGTTAAGAGGAGATTTCTACCAGAAAGACTGACTTTCTTATATACCAATCAGGTGAATATATTGCATCTAACCCCCAAGAAATTCCAAGGCACAATAGAGGCATTTTCTGGCAATCCAGTACCTACATAACTCACGTCTTAACATTACATAGGCAGTGAAGAGCCTGAAACAGTTTTGTCAATGCCGCAGCAGTACAAAGGAGATGGAACAGGTAACTGCTCTTAACTAAATAGTGGCAATTTGCATGTGTGGTAGGCTATGGGCTTTTTATAAGCTGGGCTTTCTTACAGCTTAGCTCAGGGCTGTGCTAGATCTGGTTTGGTTTGTTCAAGCTTATTCCTGGAGCAGTTACTTAAAACTTGCTTCCCTCAAGTTGTGCTCCATACTGTAGCTCTGCATTTCTCCTGGAATTGATTCCAGTTTGGTGAGTGGCTCTGGAGTTTTGTGTCTGGAGCTGATTGCTTGTAAGTTTGTGGGTCATAATTTCAGGCTTGGAAGCTTTTTTTTTTTTTTTTTTTAATTGTGGCAGAGAATTGAATTTTACACATATACACCCCACACATCCCCCCATGTTTCTGGGTAGAGAATGTCCTGAGATGGAAGTAGCAGCAAATAGAAATATTGTAAGTTCTGTTAATAAAGAGTAACTGTGTGTTTTAAACTGTAGACACTGAAACAAAATTCCTTGACTGTTTATTTGTAACATTGCTCTTGGACTTTCATTGGAATAAAGTAGATTTCCCAAAGACTAATGAAAGATATGGTTTGGAGAAATTTTACTCCAGGGTGTAGTTGCTGCTGGTAGTTTGGTTAAGACTGTTACAGGTTTGGCTTCTTCTGTTTTATAAAGTCCTCTTAATGCTATCCCTGAAGACCCTGGATCCTCAAGTACCTCCAGCTCATCAGAGCATGAAGTGCTTGCTCTTAGCATTAGTCAGTGGAATGCTGTGACAATGTTCTTGTTATTTCAACATAAGGTCCTCGGAAGACCCAGGTCAAATGTTGTGTGGCATTGATGGGACCTGTCTGAATCAGAGGCTGTAGATGATGAGGAGCACAGACGGATGTGATCACTCCTAAGCGTGTCTGTTCTTAGCAACATTTGCTAATGTCTGCTGTTACAGCTGAATATAGTTTCAGTGCAAGTGGAACTGCTATATGATGAGGCAGGTGGAGGTAATGGGTATCCAATTGATAGGTCTTTTCTGTACCAACCTAAATGCCACTTTATATACTGAAATAAGTTAGACTTAAAACCAGTTATGTTAAATACTTCTAGAGGAGAAGAAAGCAAGAAAGAAAATATTTGGGTAGGGCTTTATTCATCATTAAACTCTCAAATAATCCTATTACATGTTTTGGACTTGCTGCTAACTGCTGGATTCTTGATACTGCTAATTGAATTCAGGGCATAGGTTTTCAAAGAGCTTTAATTCTCATTATATTGTCTGTATTTGAAGTTGTATGGGAGAGTCACTGAAATGTGCAAAGCAGAAACGCATGTAAAAAAAAGGGAATTTTGAGTGACTAGACAGATTCAGAAAACAATTATGAAGAGGAAAGTTGCATTTGTACTCTGTAACTTCTTATCAGGACTGACTTTGAAAGTGACATTTCTACTGCCTGGCTGTGAAAGCAGCTTCTTTTTTCCCACGTGTGCTGATTAGAAAAAGAAGGGGTAGGATTTGCAGAGCAACCTCTGTGATGTTTAAGCACATGTCTCCAATTAGTGTAAATACTTTAATGTAGTGTAAAAAAAGATGAGAAACTCTGCATGTTAATATTGGGTTATGTGTTCCTTTGGAGAGGGATTTTTGGAGGGGTGGAACTGTACGAGTGATGGAAATACTTAGTATCTGAAGCTGTGTAAAATGTTGAGAGGTAGCTCCTGTCTAAAAGCCAAATGCTACTATAAGGATGAGTGACAGGAAACAAGAGACTGCCTACTAGCCGCCTAATCACTGCGTGCTGTGGAGTTGCTGCCTGTGATTTACAGCATAGCTTGAGTACACCTAGACTCCATATTGATGAGCTTTTACCCAGAAGGTCACAAGTGGGAAAGGCCTGGAGGAACTGCTACTGTTTGATCTCCTGTAGAGAGATATAGGGCTCAGCTGTGAGGAGACTTGCAGAACTGAGCCATGTTGTTGTCAGTCACTTCTAAAAAGACCTTTGGAATATCAGCCATCTGAGCTTGTCTCTGTTCAGAGAAAAGGTGGTTTTCTTCTGTTTTATCTAAATTAAAGGTAGAGCAAATAGTATGAGATACTTTTCTTCTTTATGATACTTTGTGAATATTGGGGAGGAATGTGGGGTTTACTTTGTGCAGAAATTTCTAATTATCTTGGGAACTATAAGTTTATTTTGAGTCAGTTAAAATAACTGTAGTACAATAATCCTTTTTTAAGTGAAAGCACAGTTGAGACCGAAGGTGGGGTGTAAGTTGTGGCTTTTTTAGTTACGTTGAGGGGCTTTTTGCATTTCAGTGGCGGTATTCATTAGAACAAATGTCTTCCAGAGAGTACCTGTCCTCTGTGCTACTCAAAATAAAGTTGGATAAGCCTCTGTGCCTGTCTTGCTTCCAGAGCTGGCCATACAGTGTGTGGGCACAGGGAAGGAAATTGGGGTGGAGGGTCGGGAACTGATGTGCTAAGCACAGTACACGCTTCCTGTGAGCTAGTGTCCCAAGCGTGCACAGGACTGATCCTATCCATGTTATTTACCAAGCATGCTCCTGAATGATTGTGCCACAAAAGTCATGCCAGAATTGCGTTTCCTCTTTCCTTCTTCCTTCTGTTCCAGCTGCAATTTGATGGATGGAAGAAAATGAAACACAACACTAAGTGATTTATTTAGGGTCACAGGCAACAAAAATATTTAAGCAGATTTATTATTATCTTAAAAAAAACCCAAACCGCTGAAAACTGGACTAATTTTAGACCAGTCTGTCTGCTATTTTAATCCAATTCAGATTTCTCTAAGAAGAGAAGGCCTGTGTTTTCCCAGAAATATGACCGTTATGTTTTGATATACTTGTGGTATCTGTAGAGGCTGAATGCAGACAAGTAAAGCAGTTAATACTGGCCTATGTTGATGTAAAACCTGTAGCATCTTAGTAAGGAATAATTCATATGTCTAGGTGAAAATGGGGTCAAAACTTAAGAGTCTTGATCTCAGTGTTTTGAAGTGCTAAAGTAATTCTTGTTTTGCAGTTGTAATAAAAGGTTCAGAATGTTAGTCTGTGTAAGTTCAGCTTGACCAGGAAAAAATTATTCCCAGTTTTAAAAAATTTAAATAATAAAAAAGAAATGGTGTTTGCTTCTGTTGCCACTTTGAAGTGATGGGAAAAGTTCATCTGTAGTTCACTTAAGTTCCTGGGATAGGCAAAGGTGATCTTGGTGCTGTGGCTTACTGCAGTGATGTGTGACAGGAGATGGAGCAAGGAGACCATAGGTCCCTTTGCCTAGACTGCCATCATCAGCTCTTCACACCAGTTAGCTCCAGGGCATGGAAGGGATTGTAGGCTGCTTGTCAGCATAAATTCTCTTGTGCCAGGGAGGTGTTTTAGTCAGAGCTCTAAATACAAGCCTGAGCCCTGTTAATTCAGGATTAGCTCCAGTAGCAAAGCCTGGCATATGTGTGTGGGTCATCTTTTTGGTGACAAAGATAAGGGGAAGAGGTGCTTTGCCTGGGTCAGGACATAGCACCCAGCAAAACTCCTGGGCATATGGAGAGTTTGGTTGGTTTGTTTTTTTTTTTACCTCCAGCCACAGCCTGAGGAAGCAAGTCTAATTGAACTTCTTAATGCTGTTCAAGCAGAGACTGCCAATCCCAACATGCCATACGCAGCTCTGTAGTGAAGACTGAGATGAAGTGGGGCTGGTGGCTTTTATTTCTTGCCCTGCTCATACAGGTCTTGCATTCAGAAGCTTTTCTTTGGGAACAGCTGTTGTATATAGTTTGATTTCATCAAACTTATATTAAAAAAAAAAAATAAAAATTAGTGCATTGTTTAATTTGTCATTAAAAATGCTCTCAAACAAGGAAAAAAAGCCCCAAACCACAAAACTTTTTCTGCTTTTGATGTCCTGCTGTTACTCCCCAGTGTTCATGTCTGACTTAAAGATTAATTAAAATAAATATCAAGTGCTACTGAAATAATTAATACATTATTTAATTTACGTTCGATTGTAAGTGGAAGAATGTCTTACACTTCCCTTTAAAAAATCAGCATGGTTCCAGAAAGGAAGGAAGTATGCTAATTACAATGCCTCCATGAGACTTTGCAATTCATGGATGAGAGTTGATCAGAAGATGCAAAGGAGGCAAAGCAAGCATTTTAATGTTTGATACTTCAGTGCTTCTCATCCCAAAGTTTGCTATTAAAACACATAGGAAACTTTGTAGTGCAGTTTTATATTTCCTGAACTTTTCCATCTAGATGCATTAGAGACATTTAGGATTGGATGCTGATCCTGTGCTACTTTTGGCACTGAGGTAACATGGCTGGAGTTTCTCCCAACTTAGGCTGGTTAATGTGAAATCAGAATTAGTTTCTGTAGCTTTTTACAAAATATCCATATGTTTCATAGCACTTTTCTTAACATACATGTTATGGCCAGCATTTATGTACATTTTCCTGCCACATAAGGGAAAAGAGCAGAAGTTCTGCCTTTGGTAGAAGCAACAAATACAGTGTGTTCAATGAACGGTCATAATGTCTAGTGGTATATATGTAACAATATGAAGATGTTAATGCATCTCTGAACATACTTGTTAATGTGGAAAATACTAGCATCTGTTAATGGAACAGTGACAAGAGGAAGGATAACAGAGAGTACTAGCATCTGTTAATGGAACTGTGACAAGAGGAAGGATAATAGAGAATTCTGTAACAGGGCTGGGTATAAAGGTATTTTCTTCTATTAATTATGAAGCTGTCTTAAATATGCAATAATGAGAACAGTTGTGCAGGGTCAGATTAAACATCTAGCTTGGAGGTCAGGAGATGATGCCCAAGAGACCAGTGGAGGAGCAATAGAGCAATAAAAGCATGGTATTTTTTCTCATAGAGGCTCTGGGTCTCCAGCTCTGTGGTTTCTGAAACCAGAAGGTGTACTATCTTGTCTTTTCACTTAACCTTTGTGTTGCCTCTCTCTTGCTTCCATTTCTCTAGTGTCTTACCATTCTTCCTGTTCCCTCGTGATACTGAAGCAGCAGTAGCAGAAGTACTGAGAATATAGTGGAAGCAGCCTGGTTGCTCATTATTTCTTTTTTCTTCTAAATAGCAGAGAGCCAGCTGTAGTAAAAATCCAGCTTAGGTTTTGGCTGGTTAGTCTGTGCTCCATATGAGGGGCTGAGAGGCTTGAACATGTGTGCTGCTGTGAGTTGCTGGACATCAGAACAAGTCCTACAGTGAGAAGATGTAAGATTTTTAGGGAGAGAACTGTACTTTTCTTCAGATGTGTAGGGAATTTCATGGGAGCTGTGGAAACTATGTTTCTGAAGTAGAGGCCTTTGCTGTTTGCTGCCAACCTTCAAATCCCTATTTAATAGCATGGCAGGTTTACAGCTGCCATTAAAATGTTTTCTCTGGGTGATTTTGGTGGTTGATTTGTTTTTACCCTCCTCATCTTATTACTTGAAACTGTGAAAGTACTTTAAGGGGAAAAAAACCCAAAACAACTAAAGGGGGGAAGGCCAAGGGAATACCTGGGAAATATGAACTAAAATGGATAGTCCAGGAAAGTCTTACAAGTGCTGGAGTAAGGATTTTGTAACTGGAGATTTTGGGGTTAGTCCTGTAGGAGTAGTGCTGTATCTTCTGCTTTCTAGATGAGCCTAGGCAGAAGGTTTCAAACTTTCCTCTCAAAAATAGCTTAAAGTACAGCAGTTAAATTCTGTATCGGCATGACCCAGTGTCCTGTGCTAATAGATAACTTGCCTAATACAATGTGTTATAAATTCGTGTTACAGTTAATACAGTAACATCTGACAGGAATTATTTTAAGATGACTGCCGTTGTATTTCTATAGAAAGCTTTCCTGGAAAAAAATATAAATATTTAATTTAATCGTTGACTTCATCTACCTGGACTTGTGCAAAGCATTCAACACTGTCCCACACGACATCCTTGTCTCTAAATTGGAGAGACATCAATTTGATAGGTGGACCACTCGGTGGATAAAGAACTGGCTGGATGGCCGCACACAAAGAGTTGTGGTTAATGGCTCAGTGTCCAGCTGGAGACCAGTAACAAGTGGTGTCCCTCAGGGATCGGTGTTGGGACCGGTCTTGTTCAACATCTTTGTCACTGACGTGGACAGTGGGATTGAGTGCACCCTCAGGAATTTTGCCGATGACCCCAAGCTGTGTGGTTCGGTTGATACCCTGGAGGAAAGGAATGCCATCCCAACCTCATGAAGTTTGACCATGCCAAGTGCAAGGTCCTACACCTGGGTCAGAGCAATCCCAGGCACAGCTACAGGTTGGACAAAGAAGACGACTGGAGCAGCCCTGTGGAGAAGGACTTGAGGGTGTTGGTTGATGAGAAATGGAACATGAGCCAGCTTCAGTGTGCGCTCACAGCCCTGAAAGCGAACTGTATCCTGGGCTGCATCAAAAGGAGCGTGACCAGCAGGTTGAAGGAGGTGATCCTGCCCCTCTGCTCTGCTCTCATGAGACCTTACTTGGAGCATCTTGTACTGTTCTGGTGTCCTCAACATAAAAAGGACATGGAACTGTTGGAACAAGTCCAGAGGAGGGCCACGAGGATGATCAGGGGACTGGAGCACCTCCTGTATGAAGACAGGCTGAGGAAGTTGGGGCTGTTCAGCCTGGAGAAGAGAAGGCTGCATGGAGACCTCATAGCAGCCTTCCAGTAACTGAAGGGGGCCTACAAGGATGCTGGGGAGGGACTCTTCATTAGGGACTGTAGTGACAGGACAAGGGGTAATGGTTAAAACTTAAACAGGGGAAGTTTAGATTGGATATAAGGAAGAAATTCTTTCCTGTTAGGGTGGTGAGGCACTGGAACGGGTTGCCCAGGGAGATTGTGAATGCTCCATCCCTGGCAGTGTTCAGGGCCAGGTTGGACGAAGTCTTGGGTGTCTCGTTTAGTGTAAGGTGTCCCTGCTCAGGGCAGGGGGGTTGGAACTTGATGATCTTAAGGTCCTTTCCAACCCTAAATATTCTATGATTCTATGAATTTAAAAAAAAAAAAACGAAGAACAGCAAACATCAAACCTCAGACTAAAACACCAACACAAATCAGCATTTCTTTGTTACTGTTATCTGTGTTAGAAGAGTGTATAGTTGCCTGGGACTACCTGGCCTCTTTAATAAATCTTGTTCCCTCCCCATAATTCAGTGCTCTAGAATGGTGAGATGCAAGAGAAAATACAGTTGTTTGTGATGTAGGCATTTAACAAATTATCTCAGCAGATGTAGGCAACTACAGAAGCTCAGTAAGGGCTGTGTCTGTAAATTGTGATGGTCATTAATATGCTGACTGCCTTTTCCTGGGTTTTGAGTTACCGGCTGGGCTTAAACCATGACATGTCCTGAAGCTTGAGCTCTTGTAACTGTTGGTTTGTTACTTAAATCTAGGCATGTAGTAGGCATTAAGTACTCATTTTACTTTCAGTGCCTGTTTTTTTCACATACCTCTCTTCCATTATAAACATTATCTTTTCATTTTAGTTGCCAAGCTTTTTTTTGAGGCAGGAAAGTTTGTGCGTTTCTGAAGTATAGAACGAGCTAACATCTTGATTATGTCTTGGAAGAATCACAGCGGTGCATTCATTGTTCCTGATAAATAGGTATGTGATTTTACGGGGACTCTACAGTGTGTGTGTATAGAATTCATGCTCAGGAAAAATATTCTCTTAAAAGGGTTTGTTCGGTTTACTTTACTTTGGTGGTTGTTTTTTTTTTTGTGATTTGTTTTAGTTTGGGTTGTTTTGTTTTGTTTTTTTTCCAATTTGGATTAAAATTTTTTCCTAGGGAAAAATGAGGAACACAACAGTAACCAAAAAAAAAAAAAAAAAGTTTAATTTGATAATGCTGATTACTAGTGGTTTTTGACCTAAAGACTCATTAACCTTTGTCCCCAAAAGATTATCTAAATAATCCATGATTTATACTGGGAGTGGAAGAGGAGAGGATGTAGATTTTTGAACTCTGTTGGAAGATCACCGGCTCTGCATTTAGAACAGACTTGACCTTTCTCAGGCCCAGGTCCTGGGCTTAGTGTTCACCAGACTTTCTCAATGTTTTTTTTTTGTTTTTTTTTCTTTAGGAGGAAGTCAGCACTTGTCTGGCTTGAAAATGTTTCTAACAGAGGTTTTTAGCTTGTAAAACTAATACCTTCAGAAAACAGGATGTTTTAGCCGAATGTCACAGAAAGCAAATGTTCTGCTCCATAGATAATTTTGTGGAATATGCATTGTTTCTTGCATTCTTGGGGAAAGATGAATGATGTTGGTGCTTCTGAGACTTCTTTGAAATTATTTCACTGCATGCTTGCATTGTGAAGAAAGGCAGAATAGCAAGATAAAATGCAGTGGAATATTTCTGTTCTGTCAGTTTTATAGTACTAAATGTCTGTCTTTACAGGCAGCAGCAGCATAGCTGACAATTTCTTATCCCATTTCCTGAAGAGAAATGAACATATCCATGGTCACTCTTATTAGTTAAATGTATGTATGTAATATATACGCCATGCAGTTAATTGAATTTGTTATATAATTTAATATTTCATCTTCACTTTCTTTAGAAATTGGTTCAAGTAAGGTAGCGAAGATTAGTATGTTAGAGGGTATTTGTGCCTTTTCATTTCTCTAATGAAAATTTACAAGGAATTTTCAGAAATGGAGAGCATCATAGGTTTTAAAATGGAAATTTGTGTCAGGA